CCCCCCCCCGGCCCCCCCCCCAACACTTATCTGACCGAAAATGCCAGGAGCATCCCGATTTCCGAACCCTGCTCTAGACGAGGAGGAGCTGGTGCTTTGGATGAACCATAAGTTTAGTGGGTTACAGCATGTTTGTTCAATAGAAGGTATCCAGCACTTCACGATAAAACAGGAGGATCAGAGCCCTGTTTGTCTTTTACGCCAGTATATTTCCAACATATGGCACAGAGCCAGGCGAATAGTAGGCACTCAGTAAATTTTGGTTGATGAATTGAATACTGTGTGCTGGGTCAGGAGGGTCGATAATACCAGGATGATTAAGATAACCACGCCTCATTACTTATCCAAAGTCCTTTTCTCAGGACTTTGTAAAGATAACTTCTTGGCAAGGATTTGGCTTCTCTTTCTTTAGGTATGGTTTAATGAATGATCATTAAATGATCATGACAGTGTGATGGTGTGGGATTTTTTTTTTTTTTATGTATGTTTGTTTATTTTGAAAGACCGCATGCACAATGGAGAGAGAATCCCAAGTAGGCTCTGCACTAACAGCACAGAGCCTGATGCGGGGCTTGATCCCACGAACCGCGAGCCCATGATCTGAGCCGAAATCAAGAGTTGGAGGCTCAACTGACTGAGCCACCCAGGCACCCTGATGGTGTGAGATTCTTACTGTGCTTGTGTCAGCTGTGTATCCTTTCAAATCCATTCCTGTCTTGATGTGGTTCTCAGCAGCTGCCAAGTGTGACATTCCACACTAAGATTATAATTCTTTAGGGAGAGAAATATAACAGTCAAACCTAACTCTTGGGTAGCACCTTGGAAAAGAGAGCCTGTGTGGTGACCAGGGGCAAAGTGAAGAAATTGTATGAGCTGTCCCTGCTCCCAACTTCTTTGGGGCTTGCAGCTCTGGCTGGGTCTGAAGCAGAAACCCCCAACTTGTGGTGCCTTGGTAACTTCCTTTATTTCTTTTTGTCACACACAGAAAAATGCTAACTAGACTCCTTTAGCATTAGAGCACAGTCCTGGCTTTGAAGCCTCTTCTGGCTGTATAACCTTCACCTCTGTAAGCCTTCATTTTTTCATCCATGAAATGAGGGTAATACTAGTAATTGCCTCATAGGTTTGATGTGAGCATTGATAAGACATGATACTTATAGAGTGTTTAGCACAGTGCTAGGTGAGTAGAAAGTACTGAATACATATTACATTTGTTGGATGAATAAATAGTTTAAAGGGCTTTGAAGATAGAAACCATCAATGTTGAGTGCTTTTTTTTTTTTTTTTTTTGTCTGCTTCCATTCACTCCTACCTTTCTTGACTGTGTAATTGGTTATTTACATTACTTCTTGTATATTCATTTCTCTCACTTTTATTTCAGGAAATCTTTATCTCCTTCAAATGATCCTAAAAACTTCCACCAATAACTCATCTACTTCTGAACTTAGTAGGAAAAAGTTAAGAATGATCTCTTCCATATTGTTTTGCTTCTTTTGGGAGTTCTTTTTTTTAATTATAATTCACATACAATAAAATTCAATTTTACATGTGTACAATTCAGTGGTTTTAGTACATTCACAAGGTTGTGCAGCCATCACCACTATCAAATCTCAGGAGATTTTGATCACCCTGGAAAGAACCCCCATATCCATTAGCAGTCACTCCCTATTGCCCCTCCTCTTAGTCCTTGGCAACCACTAATCTATCTATGTGGATTTGCCAGTTCTGGACATTTCATATAAGTGGAATTTATCCATTCATCGGTTGATAGACATTTGAAGTTTTTTTCTTTTTGGCTGTTATAAATAATGCTGCTCTGAACATTCATATACAAGATTTTGTGTGAGCATGTTTTTTTTTTCTCCTGAACATATACTTAGTAGTGGAATTGCTGAGTTATAGAGTAAGTTTTTAAAAAAAAATATTTTATTAAAAATTTTAAATGTTTTTATTTATTTTGAGAGAGACAGAAACAGAGCATGAGCAGGGGAGGGTCAGCGAGAGGGAGACAGAATCGAAGCAAGCTCCAAGCTCTGAGCTGTCAGCAGAGCCAACCGTGGGGCTCAAACTCGTGAACCATGATATCATGACCTGAGCTGAATTTGACACCTAACTGACTGAGCCACCCAAGTGCCCCTAGAGTAACTCTTTAATTGAGAGTTCTTTTGTCATCCTATCTTCAACTCTTCTGAATTTGCAAAGGTCTCAGAATCCAATGGGCCTACTACTATTTTTGTTATACTTTAAAGAAATGAGTGAAGGAAAGGATTTTGATAGTGACCATTTGATATCACTACTAGGCAGATAATCTAATCCTTCTGTGTCACCATTAACACACTGAATGATAATAGCCGTATATGTTGAAGCTTTTACTGAACAATCTCTTACCCACTTTGTCAAGACCTGGGATTTCAGGGGATAGTACCATTAATGTAGATGCAGTGAATAAGTGAGGGTTTGGGTTGTTGTTACTAAGAGAAAACTATAGAGGTCAGTAAAGCATACTAGAGAAATCTGTACCCATATAGCCTTTGTTTTCCCTTCAGAGTTGAATTTCACCTCTTAAGAATTGTGATCTACTGACTGATTTTGTTCCAAACTCTTTGGGAGCTCTTATAAATTCAGTTTCTAAATTCATACTTTATCTTCCAGGGACCACAATGTACCTCTTTTTTATTGACATAAACTGACAAGTAATAATAATAAAAATGTAATTAAGCACTTAATATGTGTCAGGCACTGTTGTGAGTTAATTCTAAATGAATTAGCATGAATTAGGTTTTGTTTTTATCCTCATTTTTATATGAAGGAACTGAAGCACATAGATATTAAGAAATTTCCCCAAGGTTACACAGCTAATTGAGAAGTCAGACTTCACATTCAGGCTGTCTGATCACACGTGCATACTCTGAACCACTTCCCTGTACTGCCATGCCTTTTAAATACTATTCAAAAATAAGATATTTCCTACTTTTAGTTACAGTTAATTAAAGCTTTTGTTTACACAGATAGTAATCAGACTTATGCTGAATTCTCACAGCCTAACATTAGAATAAATGTAAGTGTTTTAAGAAGTGGGGAAATGGGAAGAAAACCTCATGTTCCCAGCTGAGAATTGGAGTTATGCTTATGACCAAGAATTCTGTTTGTGAATCATATGACTAACTTTCATTACTGGAGGAATAGGAGAACTTAAGTTAATTGTAACTGAAGGTATAATACTCCACTGGTGGTTTGGTTGTTTAGTTCTTTCTCCACTCCACTCCCCCATCCTATTTTCATGGCTAAGAAAATCCATGGCAAAGTTTGTTAATTAAAAGTAATATTAGGGGTGCCTGGGTGGCTCAGTCGGTTGAGCATCTGGCTCTTGACTTCAGCTCAGGTCATGATCTGACAGTTTGTGAGTCTGAGCCCCACATTGGGCTTTGCGCTGACAGTGCAGAGCCTACTTGGGATTCTCTCTCTCTCCCTCTGTCTCTGCCCCTCCCTCCACTCATGTGTTCTGTTTCTCTCTCTCAAATAAATAAACTTAAAACAATAAATAAAAGTAATATTATTTTGGGGGTGCCTGGTGACTCTTGGCTTCAGCTCAGGTCATGATCTCATAGTTAGTGAGTTCAGGCCTCACCTCTGGCTCTGTGCTGGTGATGCAGAGCCTGCTTGGGATTCTGTCTCTCCCTTTCTCTGTGCCCCTCCCCTGCTCATGCTCTCTCTCTCAAAATAAACATTTAAAAAATATATCATTTTTAATTTTTGCAGCAATTGAGGGGTTCTAGGATCATATAGGATCAGTATTGGGAATCTCTATTTGGTTCTAGGTTTTCTCTCCCTTAATTTAGGAAGAGAAGTAGGAAGGAGTATTAGGAGTTGCTTTGCCTTAAAAAATATCTTTAGGAGTAAAACAAGTGGAGGACTAAAGACTATTCTGTGTGGTTTTGGCAGTTTGGGTTGAATGGGAGTGAGTTATAGGGAATTAAAAGTAATGGAGAGATCTGACTGGTTATTCCTTCATTCTGCAGTTGGCTCAAATAACTATTGATGGCCATGCAGGAGAAATACCCAAGTGAGAGGATCTCTCATGTGACTTCACCAGGTGAGTAGTCAAAGTTTTCTGGGTTAAATTCTGACTTTTGCTCTGTTGTTCCGTAACAAGTTTCCTTTAAAGGAAATATTCAGCAAACAAGCATTCACTGAAATGCTTGAAAAGAACAAAAATAACAGGAGGCTATATTCAATAGAAAAACAGTCCTCTCCAAGAGAACAACTGTTTATCTCGGGTCCTACATGGCTTCCAACAAGCCCACGTGATTGTTTGGGAGGGGAGGACACATGAAGGAACAGAATGACTTTGGAACATAGTTTCATTTGAAATCAGAAAAACACAGCATAAATTACTGTGTTCTATGTTGTCTTTGTAGTCCTGTGGGTGTGTCAGTCATCTGCTAGCCCACAAAGATTGGAATTCTTCTTGGATGCCTACAGTCTCAGTTATGTTGTCACTAGAGACTCAGGAATTTATCTTTAGAGTGGATTGACAAGATTTTGAAAGCTCAGCAGATATACTAAGTGGATATATTAAGTATATTAAACATATATAAATATATGTATACACAATAAACATATTAAGTAGATACAGTATATTCAAGTAGGAAGTAGCATAGAAGAATAACTTTTTGAATCTGGGGTATTTATGAAGAAAAGGGTACATTTTATTCAGCTAAGGATATGCTTTATTTTATTTTTTTTAATCTTCATTCATTTTTGAGAGAGAGAGAGAAGGTGAGCAGGGGAGGGACAGAGAGAGAGGAAGACACAGAATCCGAAGCAGGCTCCAGGCTCCAAGCTGTCAGCACAGTACCCGGTGTGGGGCTGGAACTCATGAAATGCAAGATCATGACCCAAGCCAAAGTCAGACACTTACCGACTGAGCCACCCAGGTGCCCCAGGATATGCTTTATTTAACTTTAAAATCCCACAGTGCCTTATAGCAGACATTTGTTAGATATTTGTTGTATTCTCCTAGGCATGCTGCCTTGCAGAAATTATGCATTTTAAAAAGCATTTGTTGAATCAATTCAAGATTCATTCAGCAAATATTTATTGATCATCTGCTATATGCCACACATTGTTTCAGGGCTGGATTGTACAATTTCTTACGACAATTATGTGTATAAAACACAAGTTTTTGGGATGTAGCAATTTCTAACAAAACTCACTGCTCTTCTGATGGCTTTTGTCTTTAGTAATCTCTCATTCAATAATGATGGTCTTAATATTTTGATGAAGATGCTGGTGATAGGACATGTGACATAACACACAAAAAATTTTGCTTTCAAATTTGAATTTGGAAATAAGCATAAGCCTCTTTACCTATATCAAAATAAAATTTTATTTTAACAAATATCTCTTCCAAATTGATGTGTGGAGTGAGCAGATAGAAAAGTGGTACCCATAAAGAATGGAAGGTTAGTAGTAAAACAAGAAGTGATTTCCAGTAAGAGGCCAGGAAGATGGTAATAGAGGCTCTTAATCAGTTTTCCTTATTTCAAAGGGTCTGGCAAATTGTAAGCTAACTAGAGAGAGAACGCCATATAGACTCATCAAGAAGTCAGATTACTTTCTTTCTAGTACTTAGTACAGATAGTAACACCAGCTAATCTTAGGCTGATCAGAAGCTCTGATTGTTGGGTATATCTTCTATGAAAGATTATTACTGATTACTGCATGTATATAAATTCTTTCAAATCAGGCAGTCCACTGTGACCCAAAGAATAAAAAGGTGTCCTTGGAGAAAGTTAGGGTGCCTTCAGTAGAAAGCAGAAGTGTAGCAAAATTAGAAGAAAGTGGGTGAAAAAGATGGGAGAAGCACTAAAACTGGAACAAGAGAGAGGGTGGTTTGTGTTGAGATATCATTTGCTTCCCACTAAATCAAAGAGTCTGTAGAACTTTATTTTCTGATTTCAACTCAAACTCTGACACTTTAAATGGATAAGTAGACACCATTTCCTCTTTGTCTGTTTACACTGATCATCAGATACAGTTTAGAAAATAGTGGTTTTTTTTTTTTTTTTTTAACGTTTATTTTATTTTTGGGACAGAGAGAGACAGAGCATGAACGGTGGAGGGGCAGAGAGAGAGGGAGACACAGAATCAGAAACAGGCTCCAGGCTCTGAGCCATCAGCCCAGAGCCCTACGCGGGGCTCGAACTCACGGACCGCGAGATCGTGACCTGGCTGAAGTCGGACGCTTAACCGACTGCGCCACCCAGGCGCCCCGAAAATAGTGGTTTTTTAACAATAAATACTAGCAAATTATTTATTGAATATTTTCTACTTACTGGCCTTTAAATAGCAAGCTAACAGAATTAAAAATATCTCATCAGTCTTGTTTTGTCTTACCCACTCGGAAATTTTAGTGGTTTCTTTGCATTGCACTCAAAGTCTTAAACTCTTCAGATTGACTTTCAAGACTTACCTTGATCTGGATTCACCCTGCCCACAGGGTATCCTTGTTCAGTCAAGCAATGATTTTCAACAACAGACTGGACTGCCTATTAACCTAGGGAACATTTGGAAGCATATGGGGTATTTTCAGGTTTCACAGTGATGGTGGGATGGGGTTAGGGCTGCTACTGGCTTTTTTTTTTCAACGTTTATTTATTTTTGGGACAGAGAGAGACAGAGCATGAACGGGGGAGGGGCAGAGAGAGAGGGAGACACAGAATCGGAAACAGGCTCCAGGCTCTGAGCCATCAGCCCAGAGCCTGACGCGGGGCTCGAACCCACGGACCGCGAGATTGTGACCTGGCTGAAGTCGGACGCTTAACCGACTGCGCCACCCAGGCGCCCCTGCTACTGGCTTTTAATAGTGACCAGGGATACTAAGCCATCCTGCCACATATAGACTACACATTGAAGAATTGTCATGCTCAGAATGCCAAAAGCAACCCTGTAAGGGGAAAGAATGTGGATATTGGAATCTAAACAACCTGGGTTCAAATCTCAGCTCTATCCATTGTAAAATAGGGGTGATGATACTGTTCAGTAAGGAAGATGAGATCATGTTGATAAAGTGTTATGGCTTCTAGGTTTCAAAACATGGTAGTAGCTACTATTAAATAGTATTGTTTTCCATCCCAGTACTTCTGGGTTCTTGGTAAGTCTTATTTCTGTCTGTGAACATTCTCAACTCTCATGCTATTTCCATTTAAAATTAACTAACTCAGGGGCACCTGGGTGGCTCAGTTGGTTAAGCGTTTGACTCTTGATTTAGGCTCAGGGTCGTGACATTGAGCCCAGCACTGGGCTTCATGCTCAGCGTGGAGATTCTCTCTCCCTCTCTCTCTGCTCCTCCCTTACTTGTACTCTCTCTCAAAAATAAAAAAATAAAATTAACTAGGTACAGGAAATGAAATAGGTTCAGGAGAGAGAAGGGTAGGTGCTGCTATTTTTTCATAGGTTTAAGTGATTTATTTAAACAGTCTTGTGGGGGTTATATCAGCTGGTTCACACTAAAGGTGGGAAATGACACTTGTTTCAGGTTCCGGTGTAATTCAAAAGGGCAGTTCCCTGGGGACTGAATGGCAGACCCCAGTTATCTCAGAGGCTTTTCGGAGTCGCTTCAGCCGCTGTTCAAGTGTAGCTGACAGTGGGGACACAGCCATTGGCACATCATGCTCAGACATTGCAGAGGGTAAGTGTGAATTAATGTTTTGATTACCAATATGTGTTGTCATTTTCACATTGTGTTCCAGGTATATTGTCATTTCCAGAGTATTCATAACTCAGTCCCTTCAGCCAGGGAGTTTGCTTGATTTTTCTTACTCCCATGTTTCTTACAACTGGTCCTTTCCTCTCAATTTTTACTGTTTGTCCTATCTTAAACAACTTTCTAGTAGGTTTCTTGGCTTCAAGTGTTTCCCTCTACTGCCAGACTAATTTCTAAAAGCCTGATTTCATAGTTTTCCTTTCCTGTAAATTCTCAACTGCTTCTATTACTTGGAGGATAAAGTTCAGGAGCCTTGCTGAGTTCTGTGATCTGGCCTTATTCCACCCATTCAGACATATTTCTTAACTGTCACCAAGTATGGTGTTTTATTATGTTATGAAAAAGCACAGAACTTTTGTTGTTGTTATTTTTGGCTATCTGAACTCTTTCCTTTTTTTTAAGATTTTATTTTTTACATTATCTTCACATCCAGCATGGGCCTTGACCTCACAACACCAACTGAGATCAAGAGTTGTACACTCCACCTACTGAGCCAGCCACATGTCCCTGAGTGCTTTCCTTCTTTAATCTGGGCCCATTTGTGCTGTTTCCACCTCCTCTTGCCCTTCCCAGCTATGCTGATCTTATATTTCAAAATCTAGTAAAGTGTATGATAAGACTTTTCTCATCCCTTCCACCCATTACTGATCTCCCTCTCTGCAATCTTGTATCTTTATTGTGCCTGCCATTTTGGGGGCACATAAATTAAGTAATAACTGCCAGACAGTACTTTACAAGAGTTTTTTCTTTTTAGTTAGTTAGTTAGTTTGTTTGTTTATTTAATCTGTATACCCTATGTAGGGCTCAGACTCAAAACCCCTAGCTCAAGAGTCACATGCTCTAGCAACTGAGCCAGCCAGGTGCCCCAAGAGTATTTTATTTTTGCATTTAGATAGTGAGTTCTTAGAGGGCAGAGGACCTCATAATAATAACTAAAAACTATTTATTAAATACTTTGTGATGGATACTATACTAAATTTTTTCTACATTTTTCATTAATGTCTTTAAGAACTCTATGAAATATTTTATTATTTCCATTTTACAGATGAGAAAGCTGAATTTCAAAGTGTTTAGATGACTTGATTAAAGTCACAAAACTAGTCACTAGTATTTTATCAGATGTCACAGCCACTAGGATGGCTATAATCAAAAACATAATAACAAGTGTTGGTGAGAATCTAAAGAAATTGGAACCTCTATACAGTACTGGTGGGAATGTAAAATATTATAGCTGCTTTGGAAAGCAGTTTGGCAGATCTTCAAAAAGGTAAACATGGAGTCACCCTATGACTCAACAGTTCCACTCCACCTACCCAAAAGAAATGAAAACACATTTCCACACATAATCTTGTTATAGGAATGTTCATAGCATTATACATAGTAGCCAAAAAATGGAAACAACTCCAAATGTTTATTAACTGATGAATGGATGAGTAGAATGTAGTATATCCATATAATAGTACATTTTTCTGCAATAAAAAGAAATTAAGTACTAATACATGCTACAAAACGGATGAACTTTTAAAATATTTATGCTAAATAAAGCCAGACACAAAAGGCCACATATTGTATGATTCCATTTATGTGAAATGTCTAGAATAGGCCAATCTATAGAGACAGAAAATAACTTAGTGATTGCCCACGGCTAGGGAAGTTAGGGGAAATGGAATGTGACTGCTAAAGGATAAGACGTTTCTTTTTGTGGTGATAAAATGTTCAATAATTGATTTTTGTGATGGTTATACACCACTGAATATAGTAAAAACCATTGACTTGTACACTTCAAGTGGATGAATTGAATGGATGTGAGTTATATTTCTGTTTTTTAAATTTTTTAGGTTTATTTATTTTGAGAAAGAGAGCGTGTGTGCCTATACGAGCAGGACAGAGAGAGAGGGAGAGAATCCCAAACAGACTGCACTCTGTCAGCATGGAATCCGATGCGGGCTCGATCCCAGGAACCATGAGATCATGACCTGAGCCAAAATCAAGAGTCGGACACTTAACTGATTTAGCCATCCACGCGCCCCTAGGTTTTGTCTACATGTGCAGTCATGAAACCTTTTTCATTTTGACTAAATAATCTTTTAAAAATCAAACAGTGGTCTAGATACTCTGCCTACTGAATTGACTGACTGTATTTAATTCAGTCACATCATTACACAGATTGTATGCTTTTTATTCCTTTGGGGAAAAAATATATATATTTCCTCTTGTGCATTCTTAAAAAAAAAAAATTTTTAATGTTTTAATTTATTTTTGAGACAGAGAGAGAGCGTGAGCAGGGGAGGGGCAGAGAGAGAGCAAGACAGAATCCGAAGCGGGCTCCAGGCTCTGAGCTGTCAGCACAGAGCCCGACACGGGGCTCGAACTCAGGAACCACGAGATCATGGCCTGAGCCGAAGTCAGACACTTAACTGACTGAGCCACCCAGGCACCCCAAAATTATAGTAGCCTTGATGTAGTGACCAAAGCCATTGGTCTAGAAGTTTGTTTGTTTTTGTTTTTTTTAAAGGATCCAAGGTATCTTCTCTGCCAAAACAGTTTTGTACAATGGTCTTTATCTTAATTCTTGTTCATTTTGTTTATGAATCTAGCTTGGTTTTGTTTGGAGCCCAGTTGACAAGAACCCTTTTGACTGGTATAAAATATAGTTCATTGTTGCATCTTTTTTTTTTTTTTTTCATTGTTGCATCTTTAAACTAAACAGGCTTGGTTTTGTTTCCACCCCTCATTAAGATGTTTTACCTTGAAGATTCTCAAGGGACTGGTGGAGATATATACTTGAGAACTCAGAGGCTTTCAGCTCTTTGCTAAAGACTGAAATAGTCTCTGGCTTAGTTCAGACTACCTTACTTCATAAACCAGTATGAGATATAGACAGAAATGATCAAGATTTAGCAATAGCTGAGACATCTGGGTGGCTCAGTCCATTAAGTGTCTGACTCTTGATCTCAGCTCAGATCTTGATCTCTGGGTGGTGAGTTTAAGCCCCACATTGGGCTCTGCACTGGGCATGAAGCCTACTTAAAAAAAAAAAAAAAGATTTAGTTATAGGGAAATCTACCCCTTACCAAGAAAGCAGAGTTGTTAGAATTGGGGGAGAGAGGGTGGAGCAGGGCAGTGGGTATTGTTGAGAGGAGAGATTTAGAAATATGAATACCCTTAAAGTGGCCAAAACCCAATGATTCTGAGAACTGTAGACTTTTCTCTCCAAAAAATCACATATCCTATACTTTAAATTTTGAAAGCCTTTGAAAATTGTAGAAGGTAAGTGGCCCTTTTGAAAATAAGTGTTGCTGTTTGTTTCAAAATACAAACCAGACTTAAGGTGTAACTTGACATTTAATACCAGTTTATCAGAATCACAGCAGATTCCTTACTATAAGTAGATAAACCTAATAGATAAGTGACAAATGATGAAAATTTTACTTTATTCTTTTTATTTTTTTATTTTTTAAAAGTTTGTGTGTGTGCGTGTGTGAGAGAGAGAGAGAGCACATATAAGTTGGGGAGGGGCAGAGAGGTTGAGAGAGGAATCCCAAGCAGGCTCCACATCATCGGTGCAGAACCCAGCATGGGGCTTGATCTCACCATCGTGAGATCATGATCTGAGACGAAATCAAGAGTCAAACACTTAACCAACTGAGCGCCCCAAGATTTTCCTTTGTTCTTTTGTCTGTAGATGAAACACACTCCTAGAAAATTAGGAAAACCATATTCTCCTGGGTCATTTGGTACCTTTCTTCTTGGCTTTGGTTTTGGCATTACTACTTTGGGAGTTGTGGGCTCAACACTGAATTTGGTGAGTCTTAAGAGTGAATGGTGCTGTAGATGAAGAATGGAAGGAGGTGTCGCAAAGTTCAGTGTAATAGCAGCCCCTCATATGCTGCAACCTCACTGTCTTCTGTTCCATAGTTATACTTTGAGAGCAGAGACCCTTGGTGAGAGTGGATGTTATGATGTTGTTAACAGAGGATTTCAAGTTGGGAGCTTACTATCCTTGGAAGTTTTCATCACCACCAGTCTACCTTATCCTTGTTGACTATTCCTATGTTTATGTTATGGGACATCAAAAACTGTATCCTTTGCCTCTGAAATGTTCTTCTGTCTTGGTCCTGAGAGGCAGACACATTTATCAGAAATAACTGTTGTTGTTTTGATTTGGTTTTTGTTTTGTTTTGGTATGGCTTTTTATATCCCCAAGATCATCTGAGTATAGGAGATTAGATACTTTGCCTTATCCCATACATGATAAGGGATAATTTGGCATGTCCATGTTTTTAAAGAGCTGCTTACAAATGCATATCAGAAGATGGTAGCCAATCTATAGTAAGGTTATAGTATCTGTCTTCATTAGCTGAGTGTGTTCTGTGTTGGTTGATGGAAAGGAAAAAGAGAAATGAATTAAATTGGTAGTCCATTCTTCTCCATGGTAGATGTGCTTGGTTTGGAAATGAGTACTGGACATAGTTGAAAAAGGAAGACATTTCTATTCCTTGTCCCCTTACTCAGTTTTTTCCTGGTGAAAGTAACAGGTATGTTTCCTAATGTTACTGTCTTGTTGTTTGCTTGCAGTCCACTTCCTTGGCACATTAGTTCTGTGACCCTGTAATCTTTTTCAGAGTAGTACTTGAAAGTTGGAAATAATGTAGAAATGTGAACCTTTTGCAGCGGAGCTAATCAGAGAGTTGTCTCCCAAGACCAATCAAGAGCTAAAGGAAACATAAATCGAATCTAAAGGAAAAGTGAAAAGTCACAGTTAGATACAAACAAGGGGGAAGTGAAAGGCAAAATATAAAATAGAGGATTTCAGTGTGTACCCACTTGAGAGTGCTTACTGTGCTGGAGTGAAACCTGAGAGTTACTAAGAATAACTTCACATATCCAGGCAGTCAGGTCTGGTGCGTGGGAGAGAGAATAGAATCCTGATTCAGATGCTGTACTCCCTGTCCTGGATACAGAGCAGCACTATCCACTGTACCTTTTTCTTTGGATAGTTTAGATTCATTGCTTACCTTTGCTGGGAAGCTTTTGGAGGCCACAGAGGATTCTGGCAGCCCTCCCTTGGAAAGAATATTTTTATTGGATCGGATTATAGCTTGAGAGTTCCCCAACTCCCAGAAGAGTAAGACCTAATCCATTTCCCTTAAGTAAGTGATTTTTTTTTTTTTAAGTTCAGTTTTAAGCTTTGTTTGTTGACTGGCAAGATTTTTTATTCATATACAAAGGACAGAGTGTAAATTAAAAGTAAAGCTAATGTTGCCTTTGGTTGGTTTACCTTGTGAATGGCATTTGAGATCCTAGAATACATACTTCTAAGTTAGGCTGCCTTGTCTTTCTGCCTGATACTTGTGATAATAGTGTCCACTCTGCCTGGTCTCAGGACAGAGAATGTCTGGTGTGGCAGCCATACTCAAAAAAGTATGCTCCTTCAGTTTTGACTTACGGAAATCTATTCTCTTTGCAGATTTTTGTAGCTCAAGTAGCAGCCCTCCTTTCCAGCCCATCAAAAGCCACATAACCATTCCAACAGCCCATGTGATACCTTCTACTTTGGGGACCTCTCCTGCCAAGCCAAATTCTATACCTTCTGGACCCTCTTCCTCCAAACTCCCTTTATCAGGGCTGGCTGAAGGTGTGGGGATGACAAGAAATGGAGACCTTGGTGCAATGAAACGTTCTCCAGGCCTATCTAGAGATTTCATGTATCTCTGTGGTGCTACCGGAGAAAATGGAATTGAGCAGTCCTGGTTTCCAGCAGTGGGCCATGAAAGAGAAGAAGAGGTGAGGAAGTTTGATATTCCCAGTATGGAGTCTACCCTTAATCAGTCGGCAGTGATGGAGACATTTTATTCAGATCCCCACTACCAAGTCCACTTCCACAACCCAAGAGCCGACACAAACAAGGAGTTATACAAAGTGTTGCCTGAGACCAAGAAGGCACCGGGCAGTGGGGTGGTATGTGAGCGGAATGGACCTCACCCTAACAGCAGTGGAGTGCTCCCTTTGGGACTCCAGCCTGCTCCTGGCTTCTCCAAGCCTATACCCTCTCAGGTATGGCAGCCGAACCCTGACCCTTGGCATCCCCGTGAGCGATCTTGTGAGCTCAGCACGTGTCGACAGCAGCTGGAGTTGATCCGTTTACAGATGGAGCAAATGCAGGTAGAGACCCCTTTCCTTGGATTTCACAGGTTCTGTGCAGATCTTAGAACTATATAGGTTTTGTCCTATAAATTTCGATTCTAAAGAAAACATTTGTAAGAAAAAGAGAAGATGTTTGTAGATAGGAAGTGAAGGCTTGTGAATGCCATGTTGGTGGTCTCATTAAATACCAGATAGGTCCTCCAGAGTAGAGGGTTACAGCAGAAGACCCCAAAAAGTATAACATTAACAATGATCATGTACTACATACTGTGTACCAGTCACTAGGGCAGGGACTTTCACATACAGAATCTTATTTAAATCTTGTAGCACTTTGATGAGGTAAATGTAAAAATTTTACCAAGTTCTTAGAATAAGTAATCTGTCCAGAGTCACAAAGCTGGTAAGTGGCAGAGCTAGGGTTTAAAACCCATCTCTAAACTCCTGTTTTCCTTCTATTATATCAATTTTGTGTTTAAAAAGATAAAAAAAAAAGGCCTTGTACTGCTTAAGAGTGGAAAGGAAAGGAAAGAAGCAGGATACATTCTCCTTTCCTAGTTGGTGAGGACATCTTAGCTCCTGGTTTGCCTCTCTTGCCAGATAATGAAAGATAAGTGACCTTTTCTTAGAACCTAGAGCCTTTCTGAGCAGGGAGTGTCCAGTTGGCAGAAGTCTCCCTGGCAGGTTCTTTCCAGTCATGCATCAGAGCTAAAATTATTTCATAAACACTGGGCCTTCTCAGGCTGAGCCAAAGTGAACCTTGACTAGAGACCCAGCTGGGTACTCCTCAGGTGTTTTCAGGTGCTTGTGGGTCAAGGTCAAGCCTCTCTGGGCCTGCTTGTCTTCCAGCTTCAGAATGGAGCCGTCTGCCATCATCCCGCTGCTTTTGCTCCTCCACTGCCCACATTAGAACCAGCACAATGGATCAGCATCTTGAACAGTAATGAACACCTTCTGAAGGAAAAGGAGCTCCTCATTGACAAGTAAGAGGGCAAGGGGTGCCCTAAGATCAGCCTCTGCTCTCCCAGCCCCCATTGATGGCACCTAATGAGGTCTTCCCAAGGATAGCACATCCCCCTCTGTTTGGGTCTACACCTTGCCTCTTGGTAGAGCTAGGTTGATAAGCACCGAGTCCTTTATCTGACTAATGTGATAGGCGAATTGTGTGTCCTCAGGGGCTCTGGAAGTGCCTGTAGGGGGCAGCCAGTTCTTTGCAGCTGATCTTTCCTTATTTCCCAAGTCAGTTTTCTTATTTTCTCTTCTTCCTTCAGTAAAACAATACTGCCCATAATGCAAGGCCTTTGTTTTATATACTATGAATTGTACTCAACTAAGGAAGGTGGGGGCTCATATTGCAAGTAGGTTAGTGTCAGGACCCTGGACCTCATTCTGCTGGCTTTTGCAGGCAAAGGAAGCACATTTCTCAGCTGGAGCAGAAAGTACGAGAGAGTGAACTACAAGTCCACAGTGCCCTTTTGGGCCGCCCTGCCCCCTTCGGGGATGTCTGCTTGCTGAGGCTGCAGGTAAGCATTGGCAGCCAGAATGGTACTCTGATTGTCATAACTCAATATCTTCCCTTTGCTTCGTACTGTTAGGTATCCAGGAGATAGAAAAGGGATCAAGTGATGTAAAATGTCCTTGCCCTCAAAGGAAGGACAAAGCAAAGCCCTCAAAGAGTAGACATCCTAATTATAAAGCATCCCCTGTTCTGCCTTTGTGGGAGCAGAAAAGATTTAAGGGTAAAATCAGGTATGCCTTGGTGTCAGGACATACTTGGGAGAAGAGGAAGGCAGAGCAAGGTACATAGTAAGGTTCTAGAGTTGGGTGATGTTCTAAGTCTTAATCTCCCAGCCTTTAGCCAAATGGAGGGGGAGGCAGAGGTAACGGGATTTACAGCCATTCTCATTTTTATTCTTCCATGTCTAGAAGCAGCTAAAGGAAGCCATGTTTTCACTAATGGCAATGGCTCCTAAAAAAAAACCTTGCTTTGTTGACCAAGCTTCTTCTGCAATATGAGCTTTTGAGTGATGGGTATTAGGCAGATTATAGTACTGGCTTTGTCACCTAGTGGACCTATTAAGATTGTGTTCTATGTTATGGCATCAGAATGTTAGAGTGAGAAGGGCCCTTATATAAAATCTAGTTCAGTCCTCTAATTTGCTGATGAAAATATTGAGGCTCAAGAAAGAGGAAGAATTTTTTGCCTAAGGTCATGTAGACAATAGAGGAGGACCAGGCCTTGAGCACAGGTCTTCTGAGATCTTATCCTGTGTTCCTTCCATTTTACTACTAGCACCTCAGGCGTTGCTTTAAGGCAGTGATTCTGAAATTTGAGTGTGCATCAGAATCACCTGGAGGGCTTGTTAAGACACAGATTATTGGGCCCTATCCCCAGAGTTTCTGATTTGGTGGGCTGGGAGTTGGGCTCAAGAATTTGTATCTCTGACAAATTCCCAGGTGATGCTGAAGATGTTAGTCCTAGAACCACACGGTGAGAAGCACTACTTAAAGAAACTCTTAGAGAAAGATGATATTTGACCACAAAGAATACTGAGGATAAGTAAAGTACATGGGGCTGTAAGGGTAAGGAACAGTCACATATCCAGAATCTTTATGCAGGAATTGCAGCGAGAGAACACTTTCTTACGTGCGCAGTTTGCACAGAAGACAGAAGCCCTAAGCAAAGAAAAGATGGAGCTTGAAAAGAAACTCTCTGCTTCAGAAGTTGAAATCCAGCTCATCAGAGAATCACTCAAAGTGGCATTGCAGAAGCACTCAGAGGAGGGGAAGAAACAGGAAGAAAGGGTGAGCTAAGGAGCTGGTAGCTCTCTAATTCACAAAGGAGTTGGCAGTAAGCCCTCTCCTGTCAAACCCTAAGCTGTTTCTGGCCCCCATTCTTGGAACTAGGAGGAGCCAACTGGGTGAGATCTTACACTGACTTTTCATGCAGGACTGGTCTACTGGAAATGGCACCTCTCCTTTTTGCTTATCTCCACAAAAATACCACAGAGTCCCTCACTACCCCAGGTCGTGATAGGCCCCCAGCTGGCTTGGGTAGAAAACCAGCCTGGGCAGTCATACTAGATGGTACTGTTGCAAGTGTTTAAACACCTGTGGTAAATTTATATCATTCAGCCTGGTTTTTCCTTATTCTGCCTAAAAAGTAGAGAAGAATTCCGTGTGTGCAGCCAGTTTGGGAATTTTTACATTTGTGCTAGTGCTCTTAGAATTGCCTTAGAGTGGGACGCCTGGGTGCCTAGCTCAGTTCATTAAGCATCCAGCTCTTGATTTCAGCTCAGGTCATGATCTCATGGTTCATGAGATCAAGCCCTGTGTTGTTGGGCTCTGTGCCGACAGCACAGAGCCAACTTGGGATTCATTCTCCCTC